AATTGTAGGCTGCCACCAAGTCCCCCTGAGTCTTCTCATCTCCCAACTGAAGAGTCCCAAGTCCCTCAGCCTCTCTTCATACGGATCTGCCCTCCAGACCTTGGATCATACAAGCGGCTCTCCTCTGGACTCTCTCAAGCTTTTCCACATCCCTCCTGAAGTGGGGGGCCCAAAACTGGATGCAGTACTCCAGCTGCGGCCTCACCAAGGCTGAGTAAAGTGGGAGGATGACATCCCTGATTTTGCTTGAGATACATCGGTGGATGCGTGCCAGAGTTTGGTTTGCTTTGCCAGCCACAGCATTGCATTGGTGGCTCATATTCATCTTGTGGTCAATCAAGACCCCCAAGTCTCTTTCGGTCGTGGTGCTAGTGAGCGTAGCACTGCCGAACCTGTAAGTGTGTTGGGGGTTCTTCCTGCCGAGGTGCAGCACCTTGCACTTCTCTACATTGAAGGCCATCAGGTTTTGGTTGGCCCACCCTGAGAATGTGTCCAAATCAGCCTGTATCCCCACCCTGTCCTGTGGTGTGACAGCCCTCCCCCATAATTTGGTGTCATCTGTGAACTTTGCCAGTTCACATCTGACTCCCGACTCAAATCGTTAATGAAGATGTTAAAGAGTACCGGCCCAAGTACCAAGCCCTGAGGGACTCCTCTGCTCACCCTGCATTACACTGATTTGCTTCCATCAACTTGTACTCTTTGGGTCTGACCCCGTAGCCAGTTACCTAGCCATCAGACTGGACTGTAAGATGATCCAATGATTTTATTTAAAGGTGATGAAAAAAACAAAAGGCAAAGGCAGGTGCAAATCAGAGGGGGGATTTTGCTAAAAGGTTCCCAGAGGTTTCACAGCCAGGACAGAGTGTGAGACGGCTGCAGTCCTACAGGCTCCAAAATGCAGCTGCCTCTGGGGTGTTCACAGCAACGACAGATTGCCAGGCTTTCCCAGACGGTGCAGGGCACCACCCTGTGGTTTCATCTGCGCCAGGGAGAGAAGGTGGAGCCCCAGTGAGGGACTAGAAAATGATTTGCATGGTGGCTTGTTGCCAGGCTGGCAAGGATGGTGACGGCAGTGGGCCTGGACGCTATAGCTAGGGGGTCCCTGTTTTACTACATGCTGCAATCGCAGCCCCAAAGGGTCTTGATGTGGGAAGAGAGACAAAGGGCAAGGTGGGAAACTGAGGCATGGAGCAGGGAAGTGAGGTGCAGCTGGGCAGAGCCACCACTGGGCCACCCTCCCACCTTCATCACACACCAAAGGGATTCGGTAATCTCCAAATCCCACCTCTCTCAGGCACCTTTTATTTGCTGTCTTCAGGCAGCCGCCAGGGAGCAGCACCGGGCAGTAGAATTTCAGATTGACTTGAAATCATCTCCGAGCTGGAAACAGACTTTCCTCAAATGCAGCTGGTGCCGAGAGAGATCGCCCTGAGCTTTTATTCGCCCCATTCTCCCAGCAGCCTGGATGGTCCTGGGCCTAGCCACAGGTCGCGACAACCAGACAGCAGAAGGGTTCTCCCATGGTAGTGGTTATCTTTTGAGCTGTGAGTACAGCTGCAGCTTGGACCCAATGACCCCTCTCACTTCACTTGGCAGATCAAAGCATTGCCGCAAAACCAAGTGATCCTCAGATCAAAGCTGCCGGAGAAAACAGAGAGTCACCCAGCTGCACCACAATGTGAGCGGGAGATGCTGTGATCTGGAAGGGGAAGGAGCCCGGACTGGATCATGGCAACAGAATCATAGAAGAGTCTGGCTGGCAGGGATCTCCCAGGGGTCACATCCAGTCCAACCTCCTGCCAGCCTTGACCGTTTTCAAGGGGCCTAGGACAAGGTGCAGGTGTGTGGCTAAGCAGAAGGTCCCAAAGATTGTTTCTGAGTGACTGTGGCACAAGCCTCTGCAGACGGGACAACCAGCTTGGTCAGCAAAGAGCAGGCAGCCATCAATGTATCTAACTCAAGAGGTCACTAAACAGAGCACAAGGCTTGAAAGGAGACATTATAAGGGAAGACCATGCATCAAATAATGCTAATGTTCTAAACCACAGTGTTAGCTTATAGTAATAGATGTCACTAAATGTATCAGATGCTGTTTTGCTATAATAATATAATTAACATAACATCACCAAATATCTCAGATGCTATTTTGCTATAATATAATACAGTACAATACGATATAAATTATAAATATAATATAATATATCATAATCACCAAATGTATCAGATGCTGCTATGCTATGCTATGCTATGCTGGTCCTGCTTTGAGCAGGGGGTTGGACTAGATGACCTCCTGAGGTCCCTTCCAACCCTAACTTTCTATGAATCTATAATAATATTTTTGTCCCTGCCCAGCTGCCTAGGCAGCTACAGCCAGAGGCACCTGCCTTCCAGCAGCCTGGCACCTGTGCCCATAAGGCCAACCCAGCACTAGCTGGCAGGGGAGCGTGACGCCCTCCCTAGCTCTCCAGAGCAGCCTGAAACATGCTAGAAGACGCCTGATGCCTGGACTGCTCAGAGTGGAGAAGGGAGAGAGAGAACAGGAGCAAAAGCTACCGCACCCATCACACGAGGCTCTCATCCGCTGAGCCAACCCGATTCACCTCTAGCAGCCACGGGCTAATCGCATCCTGTGATGCCTTTATAGGAGTGCTGGATGTGAGGCGCAGGAGTGATTCTCCCCCACTGCTGGGGAGGCTTTGCCTCTCACTGTCTGTCCGGTGCTGTCCATGAAAGATAGGGCAAGCTGGAAAGGTCGAGCAGAGAGACTGGAGGCCTTGGAAACACGACCAAGGAGAATAGGCTGGAAGATCTGGGGCAACCAAGTCTAGAGAAGGGGAGACAGAGATGGAGGGGTTGAGAATGGCCCATCCGTGCTGGAGGACTGCTATAAAGAGGCTGATGGTTCTTGGTGCCTGCAGGGGTCAGGACACAGAGGAACAGGCTGAAATCATAGCAAGGCTGATGGAGGCTGGGTACTGGGAGCATGTCTTCGCCAAGAGAGTGGGTCAGCACTGGAGCAGACACTGGGAGTCTGTGGTTGGAAACTTGGCCTGGTTCAGACCCTGCCTGGAGCTGGGGTGGGAGCGGATGGACTCTGGAGGCGCTCTCAGCCCCATATGATGCCATACCTGGAACTTACAGCAATGTGTGAGCATTCGTTCACCTGCACTTGCAGCAGCCCCATGCTGCCTGTGCCCATTTGACAGATGGGTAGACTGAGGCACAGAGCAATAAGCCAAGCAGCCCCAGCTGCCTGGTTCCCTTCTTGGACTCCTGGCTGGTGGTTGTGGGAGATGGGTCCAGAAAGCAATGGGATAGAGCCTAGTCAGGCCTTCATACAAGCAGAGGTCAGATGGTGGGTTGGGCTAGATTTATCTCTGCAGCCTGCTTGATACTATACAGGCATCTGAGCGTGCAGCAAAGCCCGTTCCTGCATGCAGCCTTCAATGACAGTCATACTCCGGACAAGCAAGAAGCACAGAGATCAAGGCAGCTGCACCCCATCACCTTAACTCTGCCCCCCGCTTACAGAGCAGCCGGGATGCCGCACATGGGGGAGGTACACCAATGCTCGTGCACGGCTCTTTCAGCCCGTGGATGTATCCAGCCTTGCAGTTCATTCAGGTGAGATGCCAGATCCGGATGCACAGGGCTAGGTCCAGGTGGTGTCCAGGAGGCATGAGTCTGGGCACTACGCCTCTGGATCCAACCCATGGACCAGCCCTGTCCCACTCTTCTAGACTATGGGGCCCAATGGTTGAGCATCACTGCTTTAGATGAGCACTTGTCATCCTTGCTAGACCCCTCGGAAAATGCTGGCTTGTAGCTTTCACTCCGTTTTTTTACTCCAAAAAAGTCCTAGAGCTCTCAGCCCCTGACCAGGCAGGTTTACGACACTCTGGGTTCCTATTGGAAATCTCTGGTTTTCTCACCATGCTAATACTGTGCAGTGCCCCACATCACCCTTAAAGGATCTCACAGCACCCCTGGGTGCTACAACACTCACTTAAGTATCCTTGTTTTAGATAGTCATCTTTGCAAGGGAGTCCCGTTCCTGTCCACTGTGAACCCTCCTGCTCCAGGCTGCATTTCAGCACTGAATGAAGACAGAGCCTGGGCACCGTTAGGGCCTCTATGACTTTAGCATGTGAGTGCATGGTTGGATGAAGGGATTCCTTCCTATATATCCTCAAGATCCTCCAGCACAGCAAGGCGGCACCAGCATCCTGGTGGGAGAGATCTGAGGTTAAGTGATGGGGACACAGCTTTCTAAGAGATTGATGGCAGGGATAGCACTGGATGCCAAGTTTCCCCAAGGCAGGGATTCTCAACTGCGGCCCCAAGGGGTGCCTTGAGATCCTTTCACACAGCGTTAGCAGTCAGATGTACAGATGTGATGGATGGGATCAACCCGGAGACTGCAAATGGGAATAGATAGGATCACAAGCAACCTGCCCTGCTGGGGACTGGCTGGGTTCTTTGTAAGAGAAAGCTCACTCCATTACTTTTCCAGAGTTAAGAAATAAGTGAAAATCCAGAGTCGGTGTTTTCTGAGGCGGGGAGGGGGACTGGCGTCATGGAAGGCCGAGAACCACGGCCCTAGGGCCTAAACAAGCGTAAATCATATGCACATGAATGCACATACCTGCACACGTGCATGCTTGCACATACATACACACACATGTGGAGGGAGGCCCTTTCCCTGAACTTGGCACCAGCGTGCTGTGTCAAAGACCTGAAACCCAGGCCCACGGGCTATAAGACCACGTTGAGCAAAAGACACAGCATCCTTGTGATCCCAAGCCCTATGGGACTGCCGGGCCCAGCCTCGCGTGGCCCCTGCCCGGATCACTCTCTACCTCAGCTGTGAGAAACATGGAAGGAGCCAAATGCTTTGGCTTCCCTCCGGCTCTGACCTGTGGCCAGATCCCTGCTGTGAAACCCTGCAGTGTGGACACGAGTATTTAAGGCATTGAGACCATTGGCAGGGGCCGGGCTGGAGCTGCCTGGGAGAGCCACCTTAAAAGCGGCCGGCTGCCTGCCGGGCTATTGTGGAGTGATGCAGGGCTGAGCTCCAGTGTGGAGTGGAAGGGGGGGGTGAGATCAAGTCACTCCTGGAGCTGGAGCCAGCTAGGGTCCCGGGACGCCCTCATTGCCTAGACCTAGTCCTCTGGAAACCAGCGGCATTTGAGACTCTCGGAGCCACCTGACAGGGCTGGGGGAGCTGGAAGATGCTGGTGGCTTTGCTCTTGCTGCAAGGAGCGTCGCAGGTGGTGGCTGGAGGCAGCAGTAAGTGCCCGGGGAAGGAAGGGCACCTTCATCCCCTTGCTTAGCCTCGTCCCATGCAGATTTGCAGGATGGGGCTTTCTCGCCTATGGTTCTTGAATGATTCATGGATTTGGAATTGATTTGGCTGATTTAGCTTGGAATACAAATATTTTCTTAAATAAGATGGGACTTTCTCGTCTTTGCAATGGGGCTCCCATTCCAGTCCCCCCCCACCGGGCACTTTGCCCTTGTACATGGGTCACTTGAGACCAGACTGCCTTGATAAATGGCCTGACAGGAGCTTCTTTGGTAGCAACTTGGAGCGGGGAGCCTGGGGGGACCCTCAAAGTTTGGAGAAAGGTCGTAGCATCTGAGCAGGACAGTAGGACCCTGGGCTGTCAGTGTGGGGGGCAGGATCTGGCCCTGGGGCTTGGAGACACAGACCCCATGGAGCTGAGACACCCCCCCGGGCCCCCTCTCTGCACCCCCGGCACAGTGCAATGGCTGCACGTTTCCTCCATGCCAAGTCTGTGCTGGTTTTATTCTTCCAGCCGCCACATTTGCAGTGCTCTGTGCAGGGGAGGCAGGGGGGTGGGGATGAAGCCAAGGAACCCCCCTGTCTCACTAGCATCTCGGCTCCCCTCTGCCCAGCCAGGGCCCCCGTCACGTGCAGCGCTGGGTGTCCGGGCTCCACAGGAGATGGGGGAGTTTGCAGCCTCCTTCAGGATTGGGGTCAGGGAAAGCTCCAGGGGCCTCGGTCCTGTGGGATGGGGAGAAAGGCACCAGCGTCGACCTTCTATCTCCCCCCTCTCTCAGCTGCAATGAGGGAAGCTTTGCAAAGGGAAGGGGAAGGGAAGCATGTGAACCCCCAGATCGCTTGGACAGTGCCGTTCCCCATGGGATCAGTTCAGGTCTTTGGGTTTTCAAGTGGAGAGGAAGGGCCAGGAAGAGCCAGGGTCAGAGCATCGGGGCCCTTGAGTGGCTGCACGGGGGGAACACGGCCCTGTCACTTGTCCCGTGTGGATGCACCGGGGCAGGCTCCACTACACAGGCCCTGCAGAACAGCTGGGGCAGCCCTGGAGTCTAAAACCTCCAAAACCTCATGCTTTCGCAGAGCAAGACCCATCGGGGATGGCCTGTGCAACAGTCTTGCTGACTTCCTCATCCACTTTCTGTCTCAAACAGCTGGGACGGGGAGGTGGAGAGCTCTAGCACTGGGTGTGGGGCAGTGCATCAGCCAAGCCCTGGGCAGACAGGGGGGTCCTTGGGGGTGATCCCCTGGCCCTGCCCTTTGCTCCCCAGCCAACCAGAACCCCACGGCAGCTGCCTCGACAAGGAGCTGCCCCACACCCCCATCTGCTCAGACAGAGCCTGGCTGGAGGATCCATTTCGGCTCCAGTCCCAGCGGGGATCAGGTCTCAGATGTGGGAGCTGATGCCCTTTCGGCTGGGAACGCTTAATCCTGGTCCCCGGCTCCCCCTTCTCCTTTCACCTGAACTGTCCAAGACAGGGGGGCCAGGGGCTCAGGGGGAGCTGGCCCCAGCTACTCCTACTGCAAGTCCTGCCTTCCCTATCCAGCCAAGGGAGCTGCGACGGAGGCACTGCGGGGTTCACTCCCAGCTCCCTGGGGACACGCTGACCTCCTCTGCCTAGGAGCCAACCACCCAGGCAGGGAGCCTATGAGACAAAAACCAAGGTAGCGCCAAGCAGGACAGGGCTGAGCTAGCCTCCGCCCCTACAAGTCTGGGTGCTTGAAGCCCCATCCACAGGGCTCCTGGTCCCCCAGTGCAGTGGGATGCCGGTGCTTCTGGGGTGGAACCTGGCAGGCCTTTAATAGCCGGGTCAGAGGGCAGGAGACGGAGCGAGGTTAGAGGAAGGGTTAGGGTCTAAATCCCTGGGGCCTAGGAGGTTTGGGCTCACAGAGTCTCATACATTCAGGGATGCAGCTGCTTCTGTGGGGAGGGGAGGTGGGGGAGATGTCACAGATCATTATGGGATGCTGGTAGGGAATAGTGCTGACTCAGGGCTGGTTGTGCTGACTAAACGCCTCTGTCTGCTTGCCTTGCAGGGTCCCGCTGGACATATGCAGGTAAGGCGTCCACCCCAGGCCCATCCCACTGAGGAAACACTCATGGCAGGGCCATGAATAGGACCCTGCAGTCCTGCACAGACTGTTGCTCTAACCACTCAGCCAGGCTCCCAGCCGGAGCAGGGAACAGAGCCCCCAAGTCCTGAGCACTGGGCTCCTCTCCCAGTCTGTGATGGGCCCCAGGTGACCTCAGAAGACCCTGAGCAGGCAGGGGCTAGTTCTTCGGGAGCTCAGGACATACAAGTTCTTCTGCACCTCGGGGCTGGGCCCAGGTGCCCCCGTGGGGGATCAGTGGGTCAGTCCAGGACGCCTGGGTTCTCTCCCAAGAGCTGGGGGGCAAGGGGGTCAGGTCGGGACTCCTGGGTTCCCAGCTCCAATGGGTGCTTTGTGCTCCCAGGCCCTTTACATAACACGGAGCAGCGTCAACTGCGGC